TTTTTTTTTTTTTTTTTTTGCAAGTGCAGGGAGCTGGGGCAGGTGGGGCAGCCATTGCCAGGCTGGGAGAGTGAGCGGAGGAGGGGCCTGGCCTGGCTGAGTTGGAGCTTCGGCTGCTGCCAAATCTCCAAATCTGATTCATCTGAATCGAATCAGGACAGTGATTAGAATCACCAAATTGAATCACTGTCCCCACAATTGGCTGAATCCAAAGCAAATACTAGCCGTGTCGCATAGGCCTACTATACAGCCAAGGAGTCTGAGGGTCACATCATGTATGCTTAGGAGGGCTTAAATACACTTAAAGGGTGAGCAATTGCAAGTTTAAGCAGTAAAAAACATGCTAAGTGTTCTTATATCATAGTGAAGTTATGACTTGTCACAGGATTATCTCCAGATCCTATTAGGTAATATATGTTCAGGTACTGTTGAACTGCTTCATGGAGATAACCAGAGCAATCGGCTAGTGCTATCCTCACCCAGCTGTGATAGCCAGAAACCCCTCTGCTGTACCAAGCCTCCAGGTGGGACAAGCTGCTCACATCAGGAAGTAGGGTCCTGGATCTTTCTCTTGTCACATTCCTCCAGAATCAAGTGACAAAGCCAGAGGGTCCTGGGGCTGGGACCAACCATCAGCTGACTCTGGTGCAGTGCCAGAACCGGGACTGACGATCAGGGAGCTGTGCACAGTAGAGATCGTAGTAAACGTTCCTGTGTGACTGCTCAGGACACATTTTAATTTTAATACCACACAGATTTAACACACATATTAACTATCCCATGTGACGAAAACCTGAGGGTGCAGCGAGACGGAAAGTAAACCGAGTTAAAAGGCAGAAGAGGGGAGCAGGGTGGCACTTTAAATATTAACTTGTTTGGAATGGTGGCACCCTGCCCTGCCTTGTGTCCCAGTTAAAGAAGAATGGGGAAGAAAAACCACACATAGCTGAGCTGCAATAACTCTACGCAGAAGACACCTACTCTGTCCTGCAGGAAACAGAAACTAAATCCAGGCAGTTTATTGCAGAATGAAACCACTGCTAAACTACTGCAGCTTAGGCTCCCCTCATGGAGGAACAGAGGAGATGCACAAGTGTTACCATGGATCTTACACATGGAAAGTCTCCCCACTTCTAATTGGGTACAATTTTTTTGTTTGTCCACAATATAAGTCCCATTTTCAGAACTAAGTGCAGAAAGCTCAAATCCTTAAAACTATCTAAGTAGTCAATACCTACCTAAATACCTTTAAAACCTTGAGCCTTATGAGCCTAAACCGCATTCAGAGGCAACTCACTTTTGAAAACAGGCCTTAGGCACTAGGGCTGTGTGAAGATTCGGTCCCTGATTCAATTCAGCCAGATTTGGTGGCCAAATCTGGAGATCCTTTAATCTCTCTGAATCAAATTGGAACCCTCTGAATTAATTTGGAGATTTGGAAAGATTCGGCGGTTCAGACATAGACAGAGTTTTAAAGGTTTTTTCTACATACCTCAAGGTACCAAGCGGCTTGTGAATGCTGTGATGCTGGGGCAGATGGAGAGTCCCACAGGAGCGCAGGGGGCTCCTCAGTGCGCTTGGCAGCAAACCTGGAAGTGGACCAGAAGCACTTTCGATCCACTTCTGGGTCTGCTGGGGAGCCCCCCCCACAACCCACCAGCATGGCGACTGGTGCCTTCTGGGTCAGGGGGACACCTGGGGTCCCCCACGGTGGATCAGCAAGCCGGGAGGGTTCAGGGGGGCCCCCAGTGCTCTCCCCGGCAGACCTGGGGAGTACTTCCAGTCCACTTCTGGGTTTCTGCCAAAAACGCAGGGGGGCTCCCACACTCCTGTGGGATGCTCCATCTGCCCCAGCATCGCAGCATTCATGAGCCATGCCTGGTACCTTGAGGTATCTTGAAAACGCATTTAAAGCTTTGTCTATGGCCGAGTGCCAGCTGGGGAGTGGGAGCGCTGTGGCTGCTTCACAGTCGGCCGTGGGGGACCCTCCCCCTCGCCCAGTCAGCGAGATTGGCCATAGGGGGACTCCCCTCCCCCCCGTGACTGACTGGTTGCTAGGTGGGCACATGCCCCCCTAAGGTGGCATCAGTCCCCCATGGCTTGCCTACAGATAAAAACCACTGATAAGAACTTATCTTGAGAATACTACCTTGATCAGGTCAGAATAGACTCACTAGGGGGGACCAGAAGGGTTTGGGGGAGACGCTGTTTCCCCTAGCACCCGCTGGCATAACAAGAAGCAATGGGCACAAGTTGATGGAGAGGAGGTATAGATTGGACATCCGCAAGAACTACTTCACAGTTAGGGCGGCTAGGAGCTGGAACCAACTTCCAAGGGAAGTGGTGCTGGCCCCTACCCTGGGGGTCTTTAAGAAGAGGCTGGATGCCTACCTGGCTGGACTCATTTGAGTCCCGTTTCTCTTTTTGGGGTTTTTTGTTGTTCTCCCGCCCTGGCGGGGGGTCGGGCTAGAAGATCTACTAGGTCCCTTCCGACCCTTAATCTATGAATAAGCAGACTATCACAGGGATTTTCATATTGCTCCCTCTTCCTGCCTCTCCTAATACCCAGCGACAATTCATCAGACTTCCGCTCTCACTCCCCTGCTCATGTAGCTCATTTCAGATTAGACCTTTGGAATAAGTACAAAGAAATTCACTAAACCAAGTGCTATTATGTACACTGACCAAGTAAGAAATCACATGGAAGTTGGTTACACTGAGTCTTTTTTCCCCATGGCTTTTTCTGATTGTTTTTGGGGTATTATACCTAATTTGCAAAATGATGGTATAGGATCTCTGCCTGCAACTCTGCTTTCTAAGTACAAGAAAATGAATTTTCCAGGTTGTCATAAACACACAGAAGCCTTTAGCTAGAGTAGAAGTCTCAGCTCCCTTCACACTATGGTGAGATTTTGCCTTTCAGGTGGGTAGTGTAGGCCAGGCAGCTTGAAGATACAGGCTTCAAAAGCAAATCATTCTGAAACAACAACTGCTCCATCCATGCACTGTCACTCAGGGAGGATTTGTCCTCTTGTTTCATATGGCCCACCTGATAAAACACCTGATCTTGGTTTTGGTTTTTTAATTATGACTTTAAAAAGCACACTTTTTTGAATCTTGTAGATAAATGAACAACTACGTGGTTTCTCTTTGCTACAAGTGAGACCGTGGCTCTCAGTATTGGAAACTCTGCTATGGGAAATGTCTGTGTAGTAAGGGGATGGTAATCAGGCCAAGGAAAGATGCAATCTGGCTTCAGCATGGTGAAGGTGTTAGTGCAGGATCACTCCCTTTAAGTTTTTTTACCATCTTTTTACAAAAATAGGTGTCCCTTCCCTATTAATTGAAGATAATCTGGCTAGCCTTCCCTCCCTGCCAAAGCCCCAACTCTCAAACTCCTTTTAACTTCCCGTGGCTCCTTTCCCTTTAGAAGGTCTAGTAGTTTGTGGAGTTGAAGCTTCCACCCAATCCAAGCTACACCTTGTTCCCACAAACAGCTGAACTGTATTTTTTCCTTTTTAAAAAAAAGGAGTTTGAATATTATATAACAGCTCACACAAGAAACAAGTATTCATCCTTCCCAGTTTGATTCCTTATCCTGTGCAAGTTAGGTGCAAGGCATCTAACTTATTCTGGAAGCTCAACTTAATTATCTGTGATACCCAGCCAAGGATGGCACCCTAAATATCATACAGAGCAGGTGAAAACATTTAAGAGAATCACACATCAACTGCTGTCAATTAGAGTGCTGAGGTTTCACCAGGTCATATAAGTAACTTTATAATACAAATGGTAAAACTTGTCACCTATATCTATTGTGTTGCTATTTATACCAACAGCTGCTTTTTCCACTAGAACCTGGGACTCGGGCATAACTGGAGTGGATAGAAGGCTTGTGCACCTGGTAAAAATGGTGCAGGACAACAACATTCACTCTGGAATCTCTATTGTCTGCATCTCTACTCAGAACCACCTTTGCAAAGATACTGAAGATCTTGTTAAATATTATTTTTTATTAAAAAAACAAAATCTTGAATCCTGATTCTGGAACAGCTCCTGAAGCTGCTGGTTGGTTCTACAGTCATTGTACATTCTTTCTGGTGAGTTTGCCAGTAGAGATGGTGCTTCTGCAGCAAGGGAGAAGGAACAATGGTGTAAGTCCAGCTGACCCACAGGCCAAGACAAGGAGATAGAGAGCCTGGTTCATCATCTTTGGTAACTGGATGCTCCCTCAGGCCCATACTCCAAGGCAGGAGGATGGTTCCCTTACTGTTGGCCATTTTAAGTCTGTTGATATAAGCTCCTTTTCAAACAATATTTTTGAAGTTGGAAAGTGAGCTTTGCTCCCAGCATCCTCAGAGTGGAAATGAGCTATACATACGTATTGGGTCCAGGGAACAGCTGTCAGTAAGGATGTGATTAGCTTCTTGGCAAGGTTCACCAGCTGATCCATCAGCTCTGGGACTGCATTTTGTTGCCACAATGCTGTTGCCAGCAACCAGTTCAAGTTCATAACCACAAAATGTAGTAAAACACCTGTCCTGGCTGCTCTCAGTGCCACAACATACATCTTTCTCCTGGGTTGTCTTATGCGCGTTTTTGTGCTCGCTCATCCTGTTGAAGACAAAAAGAGATAACTGTAGATACTGAGTGAGCCTTAGGTCTCACACAATTATGCACAAGCAGTACTGAAAAGGTAGTGATGCCTCAGAACCTGACAAATCTTTTTCTTTTTCAGACATTGCTGCATAGACAAGCAGCTGGACTTTGAAGCCAGCATATTTCATAGGTACGAATGGCCCCAGACCCCTCAGCCTCCACATTTCAGACTCCCTACAGACTTCTAAAGCAAGAGGTGCCATGCAGTTCACCCAGCATGAAATATTTCCCTAATCATCACTACTCAGCTGACAAACACAATGATGTCTTGCTGACTTAGGAAAATGCCTCTGGCTCCCCCAAAATGCTACTGGCAGAGTCAACACAAAGAACCCTCTTTCCTCTGATGTTCAAAATACAGCCCTAACGTTTGCCAGCTGGTAGGATTCAATTCCATGGCCCTGTGCTGTTCAACATCTTTATCAATGATTTAGGTGAGGAAGTGGTAGGCATGCTGGCCAAGTTTGCGGATGATACTAAATTAGAGGGAAAAGCAGTCACACTAGGGGATAGGACGTGGACCTGGATGACTTGAAAAGGTGGGCGGAGCAGAACTGGATGCAGTTTAGTAAGGATAAATACAGAGTGCTTCATCTGGGAAGAAGTAACTTGCGACATGAATATAGGTTAGGAGGAGATGTCCTGGCCAGCAGGATGGCTGAAAGGGACCTTGGGGTTATGGCTGATCACAGGATGAACATGAGTGGCTAGTGTGACACTGTAGTCAACAGAGCTAATAGCATACTGGGATGCATTAGCCAATGTGTCGTGAGCAGGGCTACGGAAGTGATACTTCCTTTCTATTCGACACTGGTGAGACCCCAGCTGGAGTACTGTGTCCAGTTCTGGGGGCTGCACTTCAAAAACAGATGTGGAGACTCTTGAAAGGGTCCAGAGAAGGACCACAAGAATGATTAAGGGCCTGGAGGACAAACCTTATGCGGAACGACTAAGGGATCTGGGACTGCTCAGCCTGGGGAAGAGAAGACTGAGGGGGGACTTAGTGGCCGTCGATAAGTGTGTAAGGAGTGATTATCGGGAACTGGGAGAAAAAAACCCGTTTACTAGGGTACCCCAGGGGAGGACAAGGAACAATGGCCATAAACTGTCAGAGGATGGTTTCAAGTGGGATGCAAGGAAGAACTTTTTTATGGTAAGGGTGACCAGAATCTGAAACAGGCTTCCCAAGGAGGCAGTGCAGTCCCCAACCTTGGAAGTCTTCAAGAGGAGACTGCATAGACACCTTGCTGGGACCATTTGATCTTAGCAGTATTCCTGCCCAGAGCAAGGGTGCTGGACTCAATGAACTTTCAAGGGCCCTTCCAGCCCTTGATTTTTATGATTTCTGCATATCAAATTTCTAACTTTCTACACCAAACCTGCAGCTCTGCAGAAAGGCAGTTAATACTGGCACCTCTTCTCTATTGGTTGATCTCACCTTACGAGCATCGACATTTCAAAGTAGTACAGAGTACAGTCCAAATTTAGGTTCTGTAGCATCTCTGCAGATCTTTCTGGTTACAAAAGAATTCCAGACACTAACACTCATGTCAAAGTAGTTTGTGTTTTTTGTACTCAATAGTATTTTATTTTAGGGGTGCAACAATACAGATTTTGGGGGGCAATACTGATGGCCAATTATTAATGAGCCATATCAACCAATACCAGTCTGATTCCTGATATGCAACCCAGCAGTTTGGAGAGCAGCATCCGGCTGGTAAGTCTGTTGGGGGCAAGGGGAAGTGGAGAGAGAAGGGTCGTGGGGGGCGTAGATCAAGTCCCCCACAGTGAAGGAGGGTGTGGGGCCAGGTAGTGGTAGGGGCAGGTGCTGCCAGCCGGGGGAGGGTGTGGGACTGAACTGCAAATGGCTCATCTGGGGAGTACAGGGGAGGTGGCTCCTGCTTCTGTGTGCACCCCCGGGGGAGGCATGGGGGGGCACATGGCCCTCGGATCTGTGCACTAGGTGAGGGTGGGCTGGGGCCAGCGCCGGTTATTTCTGGTGGGGCTTGGGCTGAGGTTGTGCTCAGGAGAGGTGACAGCAGTGGTGGGAGGCAGGGCTAGGGAGGGGGACTATGGTGAATTCTGGGGTGGCTGTAGCCCCCCGCCCCGTAGTCCTGGTCCCAGTGCCACCACCACCTGCCCCAAGTGCAGCCCTGGCCCAACCCTTCCTGGGAAGAGCCCGGAACCAGCACCGAGCATGTAGGAGGCAGCTCACCTTCACCCTGTGCGCAAATTCAGGGAGCATGTACCTCTATGCCTCCCCTGGGGAAGCGTGCAGTGGTGGGAGCCACCCTTACCCTCCCTGCCCCC